AGCTAAAATTCTGTTTTATGGCATAAATATATCTTTCAGTGACTGCCATGTAATTAAATGACAGTAAAACTAAGGCAGTTTTAAGTTGTTACAACAGGCAGAGAGCTATGAGAACAGAAATGGAGACAGTGGCCATGTGGCAGGAAACTACTCATCCTGTTAACAGCAGAGGTCCATAGGCAGACAAAAGCAGGAATGTCCAAACTGACAGGAAATCACACATTTTGGATAAGTGTCCCAAAACCAGCAAGGAAATGTGGGGAATGGAAGCAATCTCCTGTATTCAAAAGTAGAAAAGTGAAAGAAAGTGAAGTCACTCAGTCGTGTCCGACTCTTTGTGACCCTATGGACTGGAGCCCACCAGGCTTCTCCATCCATGGGATTCTCCAGGCAAGAATACTGGAGTGGGTTGTCAGTTCCTTCTCTAGGGGGTCTTCCCAACCCAGGGACTGATCCCAGGTCTCCTGCATTGCAGGCAGATGCTTTAACCTCTGAGCCTCCAGGGAAGCCCAGTTCACATGTAACCTGTTGCTTATTATGCTTTCATCACAAAAAAATTAGCCTTGCAAAAAACAAATACCAGATCATGCATCAACACCATGACACTTCTGATCTAAGCTAAGTAAGGACAATAGTCCCTCATCCCCTCAGGAAAGGAGCTGAGATGAAAATCAGGGAAAGGACCTCCAAAATCCTTCTCCTGTGAATATTCCACCCCTTCATTTGTATGCCCCTCACAGCTGGCTTACCAAAGAAGTGCAGAGTAGCACTTCCTCATCTGTCTGCCTGCTCTCCCTCTAAGGACAAACCCCTAACTTAAACACTCATTTTACTTCTTAATCTTCTTATCTTGAAATTCTGCAATAAGGCAGGAGCCTTAAACTCACTGGGAACATGATGACTATTGACTCATGAAGAAGGAACAAATACAGCTTAACAACTAGTAGAAAACTGTTTTTTTTTTTTTCTCATTATTCAGAGAGATTGATTTACCTTAGAATTCACCAAATTGGAGAGTATTTTTAGAGGTAAAAGCAAAGGTATCTTTAACAACTTAGCAGAAATTACAAATCAAAGTTTAATCTGTATGCAGGTTAAGAAGTAACAGTTAGGACTGGACAAGGAACAAACTGGTTCCAAATCTCTAAAGGAGTACATCAAGGCTGTATACTGTCATTCTGTTTATTTAACTTACATACTGAGTACATCATATGAAATGTCAGGTAAGCTGGAATCAAAAGATTGCTGAGAGAAATATCAATAACCTCATATGACACCACCTTATGGCAGAAAGCAAAGAGAAATTCAAGAGGAATTAATGAATGTGAAAGAGGAGAGTGAAAAAGCTGGCTTAACACTCAATATTCAAACAGCAAACATTATGGCATCTGGTCCCACAGTTTCATGGCAAATAGATGAGGAAAATGTGGAAACAGTGACAAGCTTTACTTTCTTGGGCTCCATAAGCAACTGCAAATGGTGACTGGATCCATGAAATTAAGACAGCTGTCCCTTGGAAGGAAATATATGATAAACAAAGACAGCATACTAAAAAGGGACATCACTTTGTTGACACAGGTCCATCTTAAGACTTTTACAGTAGTCATGTATGGATGTGAGAGTAAGACCATACAGAAGGCTGAGTGCCAAAGAATTGATGCTTTTGAGCTGTGGTGTTGGAGAAGATTCTTGAGAGTCCCTTGGACTGCAAGGAGATCCAACCAGTCCATCCCAAAGGAGATCAGTCCGGGGTGTTCATTGGTAGGACTCATGTTGAAGCTGAAACTCCCAATACTTTGGCCATTTGATGCAAAGAGCTGACTCATTTGAAAAGACCCTGATGCTGGGAAAGACTGAGGGCAGGAGGAGAAGAGGATGACAGAGGATGAGATGGTAGGATGGCATCAGTGACTTGATGGACATGAGTGTGAGCAAGCTCTGGGAGTTGGTGGTAGATAGGGAAGCCTGCTTGCTGTTCTGTAGCCCATACGGTCACAGAGTCAAGCATGACTCAGCAACTGAGCTGAAATGAAAGTTTAATTCCTCAGAATGGAGGAAGGAAACAGGGATACAGACTAAATAACAAAATTTTGTCCTTAAATGATGGCCAGCTTATGCAGGAAATTAAATAATCTAAGAAATATTTTTAATAAAATGTCACTTGAATAAAAGAACTTTAAACAAAAAGATTTACTCGTTAATTACAATAAACATAAAATTTCATTCAAAAACCTAGGCATTAAAATTCTTTAAGAATGCAGCTAACAGGGCTTCTAGGTGGCTCACTCTTAAATAATCTGCCACCAATGCAGGAGACATGGGTTTAATTCCTGGTACAGGAAGATCCCACATGCCAAGAGGCAACTAAGCCTGTAAACCACAGCTACTGAGCCTGTAATCCAGGAGCCTAAGAACCACTGCTACCAACCTACATGCCCTAGAGCCTGTGCTCTACAACAATAGAAGCCACTGCAATGAAAAGCTTGTGTACTGAAACTAGGGAGTAACCACCACTTATCACAACTAGAGAAAACCCCATGCAGTCAAAAAAATCCAGCATAGCCAAAAACAAGTAAACAGGAGAATGTCATTAACAACTGATGTAATAAGGGCCTTTACTGAGAATCTGTCAGGTTCTAAATAAAGTCTGAATATAAGGAAAGATAAGTGGGAAAATTTGAAACATTAAAGTCCCTTTTGCCCTAATTCATTGATAAATGTAAAGCAATGTCAGTCAAAACTCCAATGTCTTATGGAACTATATAAAGCAAACAGCCAGAAAAATAAAAGATAAAATTGAATAACTGAGTTACTTCTGAAATAATGTGAAACATGGCAATATATAGCAGAAATTTTCATTAAGAGAAACAGAATAAAGAGCTGAGAAAAAGACATGCATACTCATAAGTTAACTTTTATGCTAGTTTTCACCGGAAGAATTGGTGTTTCACTAAGAAATGAAAATAATTCTATCATATATCACAGTAAGGGAAAAAAATAGATTAGGTGTAAAAAAGCCAAAACTAACAGTTTCAGAAAGTTATGTAACTTTTTAATTTCAAAATAAAAATTCTTAACATAAACTACTAAAAGTTTACAACACATACAGAACTAATGACAAGTGAAAAAAGTTTTCTCTAGCACAAAAACATCAAATAAAAACAAGAAACATACAAGAAGATCATCCCTTTAAGCCAAGACATTTTCAAGGACTGTTTTCCACTTTACTCTGGCTATATAAATTTAGATGATTTAAAATCCATAGTTACTAAACAAATTATGCCTTTATATGCAGCATATACAGCAAAGCCTGGGATACAGAGTTCTATATCAAGGTACAGAAGACGAAAACTTCCTTGTGTAGGTTTTTTCACACAGTTTCTAAAGCAACTTGATGGTCTTTATTAATACAAACCAGATTAATGGCTAGGGTCAACAGAAAGGTACAATATTTCTTACATCACAAGATTTTTCAACAGGGAATTTTACATTTCTGGGTTAACTGCCATTTTCAAATTAAGCCAACTAAAGGAAATTGCAGGTCAAACTGATTTTAAAAAGAGTAACTCCTTATACATAAACTGTAGAGAAAATTTATAGTTGAAATTTACTTTTCATTCTCTGTACTACAGAGAAATTCATTATTTTCTTGAACATTTTAACAGGATAGGCCTTTAATTTTGGCTATAATTTTCAGTGTTTACTCTTTAACATGCTCAAAAACAGAATCCTTGTAGCGGTGTTGGGGACAAATTTTATTCTAGGCTGCCATTCTCATTTTCTTACAAATGTTATCACTATGATAACAATATATCCTGTCAAGGATCTTTCTTTTGCTCCAAGTTTCCAGGGTTAGGTAATACAGACACTATTTCTTATGAATCCGTTATGATAATTAGAAATTATGCTATAAGGTTTATATTCCTCTTCAGTCCTCACAAATACTACAGCACAACTGAATGAAAAGTTATGCCTTCATAACAAATCTTACCAAAATATTAAAGAGCAGTTGCAGGCTTCAGTTGCAATTTCAGAAGTTATCAGTAGTAACTAGTTAAAAAATAGCCTGTTCTTTCTCAGCTTTGTACTAGGATAGTAACTTACTGCTTACTTTGTACTGCTTACCTGGACAGTATTGCCTGGTTAACTTCACGTAAAATATCAATGTCACTTTTATGCACTGTGTTTGTCTTGAAAATGTATTTAACTACATATTTGACTTCTAAAATGTAGAACAATCCTAAGAAATTTCTTAATCTGTCTTCTGAGTTTGCCTCAAATGGTATTTTAATTTTATTGTCAATTGAACCTTTAACAAGTAAATTTCCCTTAACTTGCTGTTACTTTAATAGGAAATTGCAAATTTCTCCACTAATTCTGCAAATTCCAATCTGTCCTGTAGCTGTTATACTCGTCTCTTAAAAAAAATTGATGTATTATTACTGATACTTAAATTTACCTATAAAAACCCTTAACTTTCCTTATAGATAAGCCTATACTTTTCGGTTATATCAAGTACTCCAAAATGAAGTTAAAATCAGTGTTACTTAAAACACTGGTTTTCCAACAAATCTATTACTACTAACTTTCATTAACATATATACTCAGGATACTTAACTAGTTCAGTCTCAACTTAGGTGCAAGTTGTTTTCTTTTTAATCGTGGTTGGCACTTTTGTCATTTGCCACTTGAACGGCTAAGAAAATTGATACTTAACTTTAGACTTCTTAAACATTTAGTCATACATCTAAATTTTCTTCTGATTTATACTATTGTTTTAAAAAGTTAGACACAGAATTTCAGTAAAGATGCAAATATCACTTTCAGGTTTTTTAGAGACTTGTCAAACCTTTTGTACACTACTTTCAAAAATAACATGTAATTTTGTTAACCCTAAAGAGAAAACAGGTACAGCTTGCAATGGAGAAATACCATATTGCTTAATTCTGAATGCATTCATGTGCAAACATACAAAGGGAAACTTTAAGCAAACAGCACAATTCACCTTCCAAACAAGTGTTTTTATTCTTGTTTAACTCACCAGTAAAATAAACAACAGCATTTCACAAAACATACTCTGAAAATTTAGACACTAAATTTAAAAATTTTAACTTCTACTTTTCAATTAGCAGTAACAACTATGAAATTACTTTGAATAACCATTTTTCAACTTATCTGAATTCTATTTTTCAATTTATATGAAAATTCATGGAGGGGAAAGTTTGCAGCTCTTCCCTCCAAAACCAATGTGTTTTCTTCAGCAATACTCAAGTATCAATTAAAACAGAAACTCACAAAAAATTTTCCCATGCCAAGAAAACATGGTAAGTGAGTATTATTTTTAGTATCTGTTTTGGCCTACTCTTTCAGATCGGCTTCCCCCGTGACCTCCACTGGAAGCCTCACAATCTGAGCTACTGTATGACTCACGAGGAGCAAGGTACACCCTATCCTTGGAGGATGGAAATCCTCGTTCGTGTCTTCCACCATGGTCATGGCCACTTAAGTATGCATCACTTTGGCTGCTTGAGTGACTTTTCCAACCTCCTCCATATCTATGTCTTGTAGTGCTATAATCATCATAGCGACTGCTTCTGCCATAACTCAGAGGTGGACCTCCTCCTGATGGAGCATCATGGGAGCCCCCTGTGAAATTAATAATTAATAAAATTATAAAACTTTTCCCATTACTGCTATAACATGACTGTAAAGTACTACATCTTTGAAAGGATAGCCTTTATCTGCCTCTGTGGTAAAGATATGAATTAGTAGCAATGGTGAAGGGGCTTTCATATTTATTTAAAACAGCAGTATTTTTTAGCTCCAGTAGTTTAAATGTTAATTTTTTGGGAAAGACTAAAATTTTGAACTTCATAATGTTCCTATGCTTAATACTAATAGCACTCTTATTTTTAAAAATGTTACAATAATTTTTGTGATTCAAAAATGTGAGCTGCCAATTTACCCTTCATATCATTTTAAATGACTGATCAAAAATAATTCAAGGAACTTCAAACCAATCAATTAGGTAGAAATTACTTTTTTTTTGAGAAATTAGAAGTGAACTTGAGTAAATGATGTAGATCTAGCATGACAATTCTGTCATTTTTAAGTTGTAACTGTACTCTTACCATAACTCTTATATGAATCCTTGTAAGAGCCTCCACTTTGATGTTCAGAATAATCTCTATCACGGCTTCCACCATAGCCATCACGATCACTAAATTTAAAAAAATTAATGTAGTAAGTAAGGATTTGCATAAGTTGTCAGATTAAAAACAAAAGTATTTATAGTACCTATGTCCTCTAGAGGAATGATCATCCCGAGAACTTGAATGGCCATAATCACGGTATGCATAGTCTCTAGATGGTGGAGCATAATCCTTGGTGTCTCGTGAACTTGGATAATCTCCGCCTGAGTAACTTAAAACAAACAAAAAATTAAATGAAAATAATTCATACAGAAAGGAAGTTTTAAATGCGCAAAGGACTTCAATATACTTTTCTTCAAGGAAAATATATAATGATGAACAAGAATATAAAATACTGCTTAACATAACTGTTTTTAGGGAAATACAGTTTCTCAATCCCAATGAGATACCTACTCTGCACCTAGCAGACAGGTTATATATATAGTTTTGTTTTTAAGAAATATAAAACATCAAGTGTTGGTGAGCATAAAGAGAAACTGAAATCCTGTGTGTGCATGGTAGAAATATAAAGTTGTGTCAGACTCTTGGTGACCTCGTGGACTGTAGCCCACCAGGCCCCTCTACTGATGGGATTTTCCAAGCAAGAATATAGAGTAAGTTGCTGTTTTCCTATCCAGGGGATCCTCCCCACTTCAGGATTGAACCTGAGTCTCTTGCATTGGCAGGTGGGCTCTTAGCACTGCACCAGCAGTTATGGAGAAGATGTATGGTTCCTTAAAATACTGAAGTTACTGTATGACCCAGGAATTCCAATTCAGAGTTTACACTCCTAATTGAAAACAGGTACTCCAATGTTTGTACATATTAACCACAAAGATGGATAAACAAACCATGTTAACTATACATAAAATGGTAGCTAACCCCAACTCAAAAACTGAAGTACTGATTCATGCTTCAGCAAGGATTATCTTTGAAAACACTCACACTAATGGAAAAGCCACATATTAAAGGTCACATATTGTTAGGGCTTCCCTGGTGGCTCAGTTGGTAAAGAATCTGCCTGCAACGTTCAATCCTTCAGGAAGAACCTCTGGAGAAGGGAATGGCTACCCAATACAGTTTTCTGGCCAGGAGAATCCCATGGACAGCAGAGCCTGGCAGGCTACAGTGAACATATGAAATATTCAGGATCAGATAAATTTACAGACACATGACATAGGTGGGTGTTTACTAGGGACACAGAGGGATAAAAATGGGAGCAACTGCTTATGGGTTTTGTTTTGGGGTGATGAAGTATTTTGGAACTGAACAGAGATAGTGGTTGAAGAATTCTGAGTATTTTAAATGCTATTGAATTGTTCACTTTTAAAATTTTGTTAGATAAAGTTTACCTCAACAAAATTAACTATGACTTAAAAATTCACATATTTTATTTTTCTTTACCTTTCTTTAGTAGCATAACCATCATCTCTTGGTGACACATAGTTATCTCTCCGAGAAGACACCGGCTCTCCATGAGGACCTCCTCTGTAATTTTCTCTCCGCAATACTGGACCTTTAATTTAAAAATGTTTATATAGGTATCTCAGAATTGAGAGTAATATTTCAAAGAAAAATTCAAAAGACTGGTATCTTTCCTCTCTCCAAAACAATTTTTTTTTTTTTTTAATTTACACCAACTGCTTTTTATTATTCAGTTCCAGAAACCTTTCACAAGATAGTAATAAAAAAAGGCGGTGGGGGGGGGGGGAGAAAAAAAGAAAGAAAAAAAGAAACACCCCGCCCCCGCCCAAAACTTTACAACCACAGCTCAGCTAATGATATTTTTTCCATTGTTCCCAGTCAGTTCCAAACCCATTGTGTGCAAAGCCCATTTTCCCATGCATCTAAATGATAGATACAGGCTATGAAATTCTTTATTCTATTTGTAGCAGCTTATGCAGGTGCAGCCAAACACAAAGCTTCAGGACAAATTGTACACAAACTTTACAATGTGGGATTTGAATTTAAAATATGAAACATAAAATCTACACAAACTGATAAAAATCAAGCACAGATATCAGGACTGAAACTTATAACCCATGTGATGGACGTCAGATTGTGGTGAAATATCTCCAAAACAATTTTTAAAAAACTACTCATAAAATCCCATTAATGCACATTTAGTTTGCTTTATAAATGTAATTCCTGAACATTTTATTTCCTGACATCTTCTTCTCCCTGCACATTTTATAATCTTTAAATTACAAGTAACACAATCTCTCAAAACTTGAGTAAAGTCTAATTAATTTTTGTAAACCATTATCACACATTCAATCACAAACTAGTTGATTCTCTCCTAACATTGTTAAATTTAACATTAACCACAACCTTAATTACTGACCTTTCTAAATGATAGTACTATTGAGTTCAACTACTTATTAGCAATAAAGGGCTCATCTGAAAAATGCCACCTCTTCCAAAACAGGAAACTATTTCACATAAATAATGTTCACTTCTTGTGCTAATTCTTACTAATTCCTGGTGGTCAGACTCCTCTTGTTTTGTTTGCTTACTAGGGTAATAGTCTAATGAAACTTTAGGTTTCTCAGCTTCTTTTGTATTTTGGAATCAATACTGTACTACACGTGGCTTCATTAATATTCTATACATAAAATGACAATTTGATGATGATTCAAAGTTTTTAACTGTATCAAGAGTAAAACAACAATATAAAAATATGATAAGAATCCAAACTACAGTTAATATGGCAAGTTTCAGTTACTGTTTATAATTACATGAACCAGGTAGCCAATATAACATAGCTAAACTGCTCTACATTCCAAAACACTAATAGGATATTAGTTTTCATGAAAATACTTGATCTTGAAACCACATGAAAAATCCTACTAAGCAGTAAATGTTAGCAACTTAAACCTCAGAGGAATTCTCCAGCAACCACAGACTTAAAGGAACTGTCTTCCCCACTTCTATGTTAATCACCTACTACACATCTATAATTAGATGCTGAAGAATTATTTTTCAGCCAAAATCAAATAAACTAGTGATCAATAAACATGTCTATATAATTCTGTTTTCATTTTGCTTCTTAAAACCACTACAATATGGTAAAGTAATTAACCTCCAACTAATAAAAATAAATGGAAAAAAAAAGTTAAGCATTCATTTTAAAATAGCTCACTTTTACTAACTACTAAGAAACAACAGTCTCTGTATTATATAGTGTTTACCTTGTCCTCTCATTCCACTACTGCTTTGCCCTTGAGCAGAAGGAGCAGATCTTTTAGGAGAAGGACTTTCACATCTTGAAGATAGTCTTCTTTTAACTGGATAGGGTCCTCTTGAAGAGCTCATGTTGAGACTATATCCATTATCACCTGTATTTCAATGAAATCTTTTCAGTAGAATAAACATTCTTAGAGTTTAAGTTTCACTTACTGTTTACAGATCTTTACTAAAGAACTACCATTGCCTTAAGCATTTGTATTTGTCTAAACCAATAAAACAATTTCTTCATATGATACACCAGTTAGTACAATTCATTCAGTTTGAAAAATTTACAAAATGATTCAAGAACCATTGCTGTGATATCACTGCTGTGATAGCAGTCTGAAGAGAATAGAGGAGGTGGAGAAAAACCATGATAAAATAAAATTTTAAACACACTGGGAGGAAAATGATAATAATTCATACAATTTTGGTGTTGAGAAAGCTTTTTAAAAATGTTAACACAATAGGTGTCAAGTCAAAACAATAAAAAATATGCACCTAAAAATACAAGCAACTTCTTTTATACAAAAAAAAAAAAAAAAAATGCAACTTTTCAAGCCACCTTGGATCATTTAGTAACCCAGTAAATATTTACTTGGAGAAAAAACAAAAAATCCTACTTATAAGTGAATCCACCCAGATCAAATCTGTTTTGTTCAAAGATCAACATTTACTGTTAGTTTTTTGAGGAAAAGGCTATGTTCTGTTTAACTTTAATAGTATTTAAGAATGCATGGTAAGTAATGAAAAATTATCTTTTTATCTAACTAGAAAAATGTTTACAGACATATTCCAATTACACTTGGCAGAGTATGAGCTAGTAAACTTTTCTCCTCATCTTCTGAGAAAACAACAGAACTGTGTGATCTTATAATGAACACACCGTGTAACTGAACTCTTAAAAACATTTTCTAAAAATCATACATCCGGTTGTCAAAAACAGAAGTGAATTGTTTTATTTTTCAAGATTGGTTATTGTTAGTAGAGGATACAAAGTTCGTTAGACACATGGAAGTTTATGAATGGAAAGTGCCTCCCTTCATTTTTACCAAGTAAAAACTTCTTTGAAAATATTTCATAATACAATTTTCAGTCTTATTGTTCTCTAACACACACAAACATACATATGTACGTACATATATGTAAATATACATACAAAACACAGGCTTTTACATCTGTATCAAAAACAACTGTTCCAAGATGCAAATTTTATTACAACAGAACCCAGGAACAAAAGCACCATATCAAAATGACAGTGGAGATTTGCATAGATTTGTCTGCACATATATATTCTCAAGACAAATACTACAAGGTCAGTCCAAAAATATGGAATGTTCACCCCTGGACTGTGGTTATCTGTTATGTAATCTTCAAAGTTCTCCAGTACTTTATTTACAATAGAGTAGGACTACTCTGAGAGTATATCAATGTATTTTTAATAGTTTATAAAGTTATTTGCCCTAAATGGGAAAATTCTAATGTATGATCAACAGCAATGAATTCTGTAGAAAAACTCTTAAAGAGGCATCAGTAACAATGATAAAAAAAGACAAAAAAAGACATAAAAAATTTAAGCCATTTCCCTGCAAGATGATAAACATTTATTGCACATAAGTAATTTTATAACTACAACAATTCTTCACAACTTAGAAATAATTCTGATTACCAATAATGGTAATTTCTCATCTAATATATTCTTGTAGATTATTCTCATAAACAATGCAATAAAAACTGAGATTTACCAGATGTTCAAACTTAACAGTTTCTCACTGCTATGACATCTTTATATTTTAATACATTACCAAAGTGTCCTCCATGTGACACACGCCCTCTTGCTCCACCAATTCGTCCTCTTTGACATCTCTGATTTCTTGGATGGCCCCTGTTTCTTGCAGAAGGTCGCTGTCTCTGTCTACCACCACTTTCAAAAGATGGTTTATTGGCTTGTTCTACTTTGATTGCTTTTCCATCCAAAAACTAAAAGATTTAGTTTAGCATCAGTAATGTTACATAAAATTTAACTTACTATTGCAATGAATTAAAAATTAGTATTTTTTCCCCAAACATTTTTTTCTGAAATGACTGTGTCCTTCAACATGATGAACACGACTTAATTGGCAACTGCCTTTCATAGGTCATCCAACACAAAGCCTATAAATTTATTATTAGAACTTCCTGAAAGGTTCTCCAGGGTTAAAAGATGAGTACCTCTTCTTTACCATGAAAAAGCACACATTTTAATTTTTTCCCTATATTTTTATTTTCTATAATGTGCTTCATTTTAATAATTTCCCCATTTAAAATTTCAGTTTCCCAAGGGTATGTAAAAGTATGCATATTACTTAAAGTCATTTATTCAAAATCATTGGTCCTATCATAATTATATTTTAGCATTTGTTCTATTAGACACAAAGAAGACTTCTCAATATAACTTCTGCTCTGTATTTAGTTTCAATAATTTTTTCTTTTTTAAAAAATAGAACCCTTATTTGGTCTTTAACATTTCTTGCCTTATACAACTGTTAATTTAATTGTGTTCCGCAATAGTTACTGACTGTATTGCTACTTCATATTTTTTCAGAAATGCTTACATTTGATTCATCTGCCAATATCTGCCTTAATCTTTTACAGGGACTAAAGGGAGTTTTGAAAACCTAATAGGAATCAAACTATGTAGACTCTAGTTGTTTCATATTATTTTTGGAAAACAATTTAAAATCCTAAATTCCTACCAGGACTTCTGGCGGAAATGGGCTCTAGATCAATATAATCAGCCTCAAAAGCCATTTTTTCCCATCTTAGGGTCTCACTTTCGGTTTCTTGGTTCAAAATATTTTCCAGAAATTCATGCACTGCCTCCTTCCCAACTCAGGATTTAGCTAACATTCCTAGATATGCCTAAAGATAGTATCCACCACCCCATAAGCACTAACAAAATTAGTACTTTATTTCCCATAACATTTCTGCATGTAAAATTAATGTTTCTACTTGTACATTTTTCCCTTCACCCTAGAAAATGAGTGATCAAGAAAATAAATATTTTGTCTCATCCACAGCCATTAATCAGCTACTAAATCAATCAATGCCTGGCTACTGAATAAAGAATTACTAAAGTGTAGTTTCAGATTTCTGTGATTGATAACTAGAATAAAAAAACAGGAATTAGTTAGCATCAAAAATTCTCAAGGAAAGTTTACCTCTGTGACCCAAAACTGAGTCAAACTAACTTTTAGGTATTACCATATCTTAAAATATGAAAGGACAAGGGTCAACATGTGCCACAGGCCTGAAATATACTAGAACCATAACTGTAAATAATAGGGAATTAATGTATTCATACTAAGGGAATGTAGAAGTTCCAGAGATAATTTAACAATTAACAGGATATCATGAGTACAAAAGCCTATTACCCACAATACAAAATGGGGGAGATACAGACTTTTTTTTAACTTAATATAACAATCCACAGAGGCAGGGGAAGTCCTGGAGCACAGTGCTCCATAACTAGCTAAAGATGTGGGATGGAGAGGGAAGTGGGAGGGAGATAACATTTATATGCTTATGGCTGATTCATGCTGATGTATGGCAGAAACCAACACAATGTTGTAAAGCAATTCTTCTCCAATTTTTAAAAAAAGCTCAGCTTCTAATGGACAAATTTTTATTTGTAACACTGATACAGTGAAGAGTGACTTAAATTGAAAATACCAAGACTTAAAATACAGTATGGAATATTGGGAGTGCTGAAGGTTAAAACCTATTTGTGTTTATACTTAGATGCAAATAGAAAACAGATTTAATGTATTTTGTTAATGCTGGTATTAACTTCAATCTCTTCCCAATCAGAGGATCCAGTATTTATGTGACAAAAAGGAAAGTGAAGCCTTGCAAAGCATTATACTTCTGCAACAAATAAAGAAATCTAGAAATAGTATTAAATGAACCTACATTATAAAGACTTACCTTTCCATTCATTTCTTTGGCAGCATCCTTTCCATCTGCAGGGCTCTGGAAAGTAATAAAAGCAAAGCCTCTCGACTTGTTTGTGTTCCAATCCTTTATCAAGAGAACTGTAATACACATAAATTTTTTAAATTTAAAATGTCACATAAAATTGAACTTTTATTATTTTCAAAATTATCACTCCTTTGACAATTTCTCATAAGACCTCTTAAACATACTTTAATGCAATCAATAAAGCAGAGTACAAAGTTTTGAAAGTTACTTAAAAACAACAAAAATCTATATATCACTTTATATGATATAAAAATACCATATAATTTGATTTTTATGTATCATTTCCAGTATTTTTAAAATGAACAGTAAATAATCTCAATAATTCTATAATTACCATATCTTATTCTACTTCACGTCCCAGGACCACTAGTACATTTTAAAAGCACTGTTTTCTTCCCTTTTCAGTAAGAGGGAGACCCTTTTACTGACTGCCAAATGCTTGCCTAATTAAAAAATAACAAAAAACAAAAACTTTAAACTGTTAATAGTTGTCCATGGATATATATTAAACATACATTTGCTTTAAAGAGTTATGTATGTTGAGTCTAGACTTACCTTCCACAATGCGACCGTATTTCCCAAATTCAGCTTCAAGAGACTTCTCAGTTGTTTTAGCACTGAGGCCTCCTATGAACAGTTTTCCAGGCCGATCCGCTTCCATCATTTTACTGTTAGGTGGCAAAAAATATACCATAGTAAAGAACAAATTATGAGCCAAAATGTTCAAATATCATTTAAAAAAACCCGATCTTTTAAAAATGTTTACTTAAAATACAAGGAAACTTGTAACACAAAAATGAAAACAAGCCGTGACCTAATGAATGCTGTTTTTTTTCTTTTTTTACAAATGACAAAAGCCTGTAAGTTTAAATTACATTAGAAAGGTGCTGTAAAGCTCTTTTGAGCTGCATTGTTTAACAACTTATTAAAACCTAAATACAGTATCTAAATTTTATAAAATGTGCATAAAACACACTAAACACATTTTGAAATTTCCTCAATTTTCTCACGTTTATGTTGATTACACAACAAATAATCTTTAAAATATACTTAACATTCAAAAACTTCTATAATACTAAGTCATAAAAGCCACAAGAGAATAAAATACTTTGTTGAAGGAAATTTAACCCATGGTTACTTATTTTGGTAGACTAAGAATCATTGGTCCAAACCGAATAATGTTAAATGTCAGCTTTTATGAATATTAAAATTTGACTATTTTTGTTAAGTCAATCAACAGTTCGACATTTGAAAACCATAGTTTTAAGTCATGTAAGTAAAACGGTTAGGTATATTGGTTGTTTTTTTTTTTTTTCTTTAAAAAAATTTTTATTTACTTTAATTGGAGGTTCATTACTTACAATATTGTAGTGGTTTTTGCCATACATTGACATGGATCAGCCATGGTTGTATATGTGTCCCCTATCCTGAACCTCCCTCCTCCCACCTTGCTCAGCATCCCACTGTCACTGTCTCGGAGAAAAACTTTTTTTTTTTTTTAAGTGCACGTGAAACAAATGGAATCAGGGCTGTTACATCTTGTTACACAATTATCTGATCCAAGGCAAGGGAGAAAATCTGAGTTATAAAGCAAAGCAGTATTCCATGACTATCAGCAGGAAGGAAGCCAAGAGAGAAAACCTGGATTACGCACCAAAGCAACAGCCTCCGAAATTAGCAGCCCCACGCTAAGGGAGAAAAGCCGGTGTACAAACCAAAGCAATAGTCCGGTGACTAGCAGCCCGAAGCCAACCTAAAGAAAGCCGAATCACACATCAGAGCAACATTCAGTCAGACTAGCAGCCCCAAGCTGAGGGAGAAAAACCACCGCATTACGGCCCAAAGAAGCATTTTGCGACAGGGCCAAGCCAACGGAAAAAAAGCCGCTTAACACACCAAAGCAGCATTATGCATGACTAGCGGCCGAACTACGCACCACAGCAACATCTCGCGAGAAACCAAAGCAATATTCCACGTGACTCGCAGCCCCAAACCAACGGGAAAAAAAAAAAGCCGAATTGCGCACCACAGCAACATTACGCGAAAAACCAAAGCAACATTCCACGTGACTCGCAGCCCCAAACCAAAGGGGGGGGGGGGGGGGGAGCCGAACTGCACACCGAAAGCAACCAACATTCCGCATAAGTAGCCATAAGCTGGTGGAGAAAAGCCCAGCGTTATATATACCAAAGAAAACTTACAAAGCAAAAACGGCTTTCTCAGTCCCAGGGTAGGAGTATATGTCAAGTATATCCTCCCACAGCTAACATCCAGACGTTTCAAACACCCTTATTTGCCCCGCCCCAACTCCCGCACTCTCTCCTGTCCCCCAGCCCTCCATTCAGAGAAAGGAACCCTCAGACTTCACTCGCTGTCCATTGCTACTTTAGGCACTGATTCTCCAACGAATAAAAATTAAAGATACTTTACAAGAAATAAACTAGTAAGACTTTTCAGGATAATGTACACACACACACACACATACACATACACTTTACTCAGCTATTAGTTTTTACGGGAAAAAGCCTGACAGGAAAAATAAGTGTAAGTTACCGTTTTTCTCCAGTAAAAACAGACGCTATGCCTATAAACATGTTCCCATAAGATAGAAATCGTTTTTTCAATTTTAAAATGCCCAATTCCTTACCTTTTTTTGTGCCGTTCTTCTGAACACGCAACACCAACCTTCCTCAGTCGACCGTTAGCTAAACTAACGTTGAACGCAGCCGCGCCTCTTCGGTCAAGAGCGTAACGAACCGGATGTATGGCGCGAGGAGACGAGCATAAGGAATACGTCTGTATCGCGAGATCAGCCGCAGAAACAGTAGGACCGGAAGAAAACACAGAGGCGGGGGAGGGGTAAATGGAGACCTTTAAGGGACAGTCTAAAAAATAAAAAGACCAAATATTCTACTTTTCTGTTTTACTAAATATATTTACCAGCTGCGTTAATTTAGTCACCATAAAATACAAAAGAGAACTTTTACCATCACTTTTTTCATTATTTATTGCTCTCTTAAATGTCGCCAATATGATCACTCTTGTGTGGCATATTCTTTACTTGTGTGTGATTTTCTTTTCTGTTAATACAAAAGAAAAGTAATAATAAAAATAAGAGAAAATAATGAAAATATTTAAAACATTTAGGAGTCAAAAGCCTTAGTGTCTTTGAAGTAAACATATTTGGAATATTCTCATTAGGCAGATACAGGTAATGTTTTTCACTAAAAATTCCAAAAGTAACAAAATGAAGAGATCCACTTAGGGCAATTTCTGCAGTTTCTGTCACCTCATTCTGTATAATAAATACAATTTTGGCTAATGCATGTCTATACCTGAAAAAACTATCTGCTGACATTATTTTTCCCTAATATAAAATTCTTCCTTCTAGGAATTAACATGCAAAATCCTACCTAATAGAAGAAAATACACTTAACGAAGGACAGAAATAACTTATTTTCCAAGGGTTTCTCTAGAATTTATCTACATAGTTTATATAGCCATTATATATATATATACATAAATATTTATATATACTCTTACATATATAAAATTTAATATACATATATACTTACATATGTATGTATACTAAATTTTACTACTCTTAAAAAGCAATACTATAGCTCAATTTTCAGTGTATATGTCTTATTTTAATGCTGATGTCTACTAGTCTTTATAATATTTCCCCGTTTACAAAAATGCTTAGAATCTCTTAGTAAGCTATTATAAATAAATAATATAATGTTGACTGGTTCTCCTAAAGTAGTGATTGATCTTTCTAATATATACTCTTTAGGTAAATCTCTGGAGAAGGAAATGGCAACCCATTTCAATATTCTTGCCTGAAGAAGCCCACGGGTAGCAGAGCCTGGAGAGCCCCAGTCCATGGGGTCTTAAAGAATGGGATAGGACTGAGCAATAAAACACAATTTAGGTAAATGGGGCTTCTGTGATGACCCAGAAGAAAAGAATCTTCTTCCAATACAGAAGACTTGAGTTTGATCCATGGCTCGGAATGATCCCCTGGAGAAGGAAACAGCAACCGTCTCCAGTATTCTTGCCCAAACAATTGCACAGACAGAAAAGCCAAGCAGGTTACAGTCCATGGAATTGCAAAGAGTCAGAGACAACTAAGCAGTCAAGAACATGTAGGACAACAACTCAGCAGTGAAATCATGCACCAAAGGTAAACAACATCTTAATATATTTGTATAAGATATAGTTTAGAAAGTCATTTTTAAAGTAGTGCTTACCAGTTTGTTTGTATTAATTTCTTACTACAGAACCATTCTAATAGTATATTTCTATATTACTACATTCTTACTTGAAAGTTTCCCTATGGCTCTATTAGTGTTAGTGATTACTCTTTTTCATTTCAACAGGTAAAATGGGCCCTTTATTTTAATTTAATATCTCACTAGGAAAGTAAATGTCATTGATGAATTTTACTGATACTGTAGTAACCAATGTTACAAAAATTAAGACATTTAAGCAGTTCCAATCAACTAATACTCAAATGATAATTAGTTCAAATAAAGAATTAATACATCAACCATTGAAAGTACACATTGGAAAAGCATTACTGGAAATAAAGCATTATGATAGCTGCCATAAAATGCATAAGAACATGTTCCAATGATTTAAAAAATGATAAATACACATGATAGTTATTTGCCACTTTCTATACACTGATCAGAATAAATCAGCCATTTACTGTGATATGAAGATGTACACTGCAGTGCAGACACAGTGTCCCCTGCCCTGGGAATGCCTGGGTACGAACTGGCAGCCAGGAGTGGAGCAATTCAAAGGAGTCAGAGGCCAGTGGTGGGTAAGGGTTGCAGCTGGAGCCAGAGCCAAGATAGAGAAGCTGCTGAGGCCTTCATGATTAAAGTTTTGGGGACACCTCTTTCTCTCCTTTGTGTAGTTGATAGTTTGGATAGTGAAGCGATGGTTGACTGTCAAAATATTTCTGCAGGACCTTGCCAGGGGAATCAGACTCTGTCTGGGAAATTTGTATTGTCTCAAAGTTGGATGCTCAAATTCAACAAAAGAGAGAGGAGTAGCATCAAAAAACAGCAAGCAGTATTCTGGCCCAGTGGGAAGCCCAGAACACAGGGAGGAAGCAGGAAAGTGAGCCACATATTGTTGGGAGAACTTTTCACTGCTGCACTTGTGATGGTGGAGTTTTCTGATTCAGTCTCCTCTTGTTTTATGGACTTTTTAATCCTGTGCTTCAGTCAGTAGTAGCCCATATTACTAGTAATCCATCACTACATGGAGATATTTGGTGATGGCTGAAGTTCTTCAGGTCAATTATCTGCTCTCTCTCTGTGCTCCCCCTCTTCATACTCATAAATATTGTGAACATGATTTGGTTCCAGGATTTAGCTGACCTATCATTTGAGGTATCAACCAAGGAACCTCACCCATTCCCTAACATCAGCAGAATAACTGCTGACACACTCTAACCTTTCACTGCAATCTTTCTTCCTCCTCCAGGGTATGTCTGTCAGCCTCTTTACCATACATTTTGGCCAGTTGCTTAGTCTCCTGAGTATGTCTCTTCTCTGTTCACTTCTGTACCCACTATATTGATTTGGAAATCATTGGTTCAGTAAAGGAATTCAAATGCACCAGTGATATCAACATAGAAAGAAACTGGCCTTACTACGTTGGATTTGGTTTGCCCCTGGATTTCCAATGTAAGATGGCAATGCACTCTCCTACACTGTGGCTTCCTCTTCTCTATCCTCTCTCCTTTATTCATTATCAGTGCCAATGAAACAAAGATACCTGGTAAAGCATATCTTTTTCAATTGAATGTCTTCTTGGTGGTTTTCCTAAACAGCAGAGTCTTCCACTAGATGCTTTATCTGTGGGCTGTCCTGAGTAGCTTTATTTCTGCAGAGAAATTCCCTCACTGTACCCATCTACTACCAGACTGAAACTGCTGCCAGCCACTGAGTTATCTTCGATCTGGAGGGGATGGGTGGAATCAGAAGGACCTCATGGGAGCTCTTTTCCTGGTTCACCACTGCGCCCCCCCACCCCCATCCCCAGGGAAGGTGGAGCATACCCCGTGAGGGCTCTGCCCATGTTCCCTTCTCTCTGAGGAATCTGGGGAATCCAGATTTTTGTGTTAGGTGCATGTGTGGTAGAATCTTTCTGAAACCAGCATGGACTTTAGGATTTTAAATTGTTTTTAAATCCTTTTTTTTTTTTTTCAAAAGTTGTGGAATTGTATCACGGTTTTTTTTTTTTTTTTCCATTTAGTTTTATTAGTTGGAGGCTAATTACTTTACAACATTGCAGTGGTTTTTGTCATACATTGAAATGAATTAGCCATGGATTTACAGGTATTCCCCATCCCGGTCCCCTCTCCCACCTCCCTCTCCACCCGATCCCTCTGGGTCTTCCCAGTGCACCAGGCCTGAGCACTTGTCTCATGCATCCAACCTGGGCGGGTGATCTGTTTCACCCTAGATTATATACATGTTTCGATGCTGTTCTCTTGAAACATCCCACTCTCACCTTCTCCCACAGAGTCCAAAAGTCTGTTCTATACATCTGTCCTTTTTTAATGTACAAGACAGTGACCTAAGTCTGAGATAAGTAGGCTAGTTGGGTGGGCTTGCTTTTGGAGTGTTGACCGTTAAGAAATTCACTTTTCTTTGAGACTACAGACGAGTATATACTCCCAAAATTTTAGAACTAATGGAGTTTTCCATGGCCTTTCTTCCCCGCCACCCCACACCCCCCCCCCCCCGACCGCCAAGTAAACCATCAGTATCCTTCAGAAATTAAAATGTTTTGGTGTGTAAATGAAAACCCCCCAAGAGTGTGCCAAGCCTGGAATGATTTCAGACTGCATACTTCTGTTGTTG